ATGAAAGAAACTGATGGAAAAATTTGGGATGTGCAAGCGGGATTCAGAAAGGGAATGGGATGTACAGATCAAGTCTTTTCCATGCGCATGATCGCGGAGAAGTTTTTGGCCAAAAACCAAAAGGTTTTTTGTGCGTTCATGGACTTGGAAAAGGCCTATGACAGAGTGGATAGGGATGTGCTATGGCAAACACTGAACTCATTTGGGTTGAGCGCTGGCTTGATACAGGCATTGGAGTCTCTTTATAGGGACTCTAGTGCTTGTGTTAGAATCAACGGGGTCTACTCGGACTGGTTTGACATCCATAAAGGTGTCAGACAGGGCTGTGTGGCTTCCCCGTGGCTGTTCAACCTATTTATGGACAGTTGTTTGCAAAATTTGAAAGTTGAAGAATGCGGATTAAGAATGGGTGAGTTAACCGTCAAATGCCTTTTGTACGCCGATGATCAAGTTATCCTTGCGTCGTCGGCGGCCGAGTTGCAAATGATGGTTACATTAATGAACAGATCATTAAAAGAAAGGGGTATGAAAGTGAACGCAAGTAAGACGAAGGTTATGGTTTTTGAAAGAGAAGAAAGTAAAACGATTTGTGAAATAAGAATAGAAGGGGAGTTGATCGAGCAAGTGGATGAGTTTGTATATTTGGGCTGCGTATTTAGCAGGGATGGGAGATATGATAAGGATATAGAGCGACGAGTGAATGCGGGAAATAGAGTAAATGGGGCCCTGCACTCTATTGTGAAGAGTCAAAATGTGTCAAAAAAGGCACGTATGGCAATTCACAATGCTGTGTTGGTCCCTACTTTAACGTATGGTAGTGAAAGTTGGGTGTGGCAGAAGAAGCATGAGAGTAGAATCAACGCAGTAGAAATGCGGTCCTTAAGGAGTATGTTAGGGCTGAATCTGAACGACAGGGTAAGAAATTGTGTAATAAGAGAAGAGTGTGGTTTGCAAGATGATGTTGTGACCAGGATTAAGAAAGGAATGCTTCGGTGGTTTGGTCATGTGGAAAGAATGAATGAGGAAAGAGTGACAAAGAAAATTTATGTTGCAGAAGTGAATGGCAGAGTCGGAAAGGGACGTCCTAGGCGAAAATTTATCGACCAAATTGGCGATTTATTGAAAACGGGCCAAATTAGGAGTACCCTTAACCGTCGAGCATGTATGCGTAGGTGTATGGATGTGAAGGAGGCGAGAGAGGTGTGTCAGGATCGTGCCAAATGGAAGTCTGTAGTCTCTGCCTACCCCTCTGGGTGACAGGCGTGAGTGTTTATGTTTATGTTATGTTATATACGTTAATGCCATACTAACTTTAATACTTATATATACAATACATATAATACTTTTCATTTTAGTGATCAAGAGAACAAACCTCAATATTCTTCGAAAAGTATTTTAATACCAACTAATGGTTCTAAGGAAACAAAAGGACAAGATGTAGAAAATAAACCACAAAATGAAAACTCGGTACATATACAGTTATTTTTGAGTAGCAATTAGCCAATTATCGTGCATAAAACACATGTTGTACATGTTTAATATCTACAATATCTCATTTGTTTTAAAATTGTTATTCATTTTTATTTATGTACACAAATAAATACTTGCAGTTTTGCTATTTTAAAAAGCTAATAATAATATTTATTTTAGGTTAATAAAAAGGGGCAAAAACGAAAAGCCACCAGTGGACTGCCTTTTAGAAAAGTTAAAACTAAGGTAATTAAAATATGATAAATAAGGACTCATAAAATTTGACTCGCAGAAATGTAAAACAAAGCTATTACTTTTTTATTTTAGCGCCAGCCATCCGCACGTGAAAAGGGTGATTGCTTCGACTTCAATGTAGAACGTGAAGAAATGTGTAGTAAAAAAGAGGATTTTGATTTAGAAGGACGTAGAATTGTCTCTATACGATACTTCTTACTTTCTCTGCAAGCAGTTGCTGATCACAGTCATGAATCATTTGGATGCTGATTTTCAAATTTGAAATGCATCGGTGAGACCAGAAAAGGCTTTATTTCAACGTTGTGCTTGAAATGCCAATTATGTAACGCAGAATTTAATATAAGCACCGATTATCCTATGCTAATTACAATGTTAATCATGGTATTGTCGCGGGCACGATCAGTATCGGTTGTGGTCTTGAAAATTTGAACGAACTAGCGGCAAACACTAATATACCCGCTATGTCAAAACAATTGTACAATAACACAAGCCAAGTTGTTTATTTTAGATTTCATAAAACAGCGGATCAAGTAATGCGGGAGGCAGGAAAAGAGGAGCACGACACGCAAAAGAAATTGGAAGCGTTGACAGCGATGGAAATCCCATCATAACGGTAATTGCTGATGGCTGCTGGTCAAAAAGATCGTTTCGCAATAATTATCCTGCTTCTTCTGGTGCAGCAGCAGTTATTGGTGCCTATACTGGAAAACTGTTATACTTAGGAACCAAAAATAAATACTGTATGATATGTGCTCGTGCAGCTAATAACAAAATATCCCCAAAAAGTTAACCCCTACACAATACAAAAAACACTAGAAAAAAACTTTCTTATTTTTAATCTTGTAACCAACTAAATAAATAAATATTTGTGTATTCAGTTATTCTTTAGTTTGAATTTTTTATCGATTGCCTTCTAAATTACTTCTCTATACGATTTTTCTTTAAAAAAACAGGTATAAGCGCTATTTGTATGTTCAGTTTGTATAAAAAAATCATATATATCCGATTAGACGGGAGGAGTTGGAATCATGGAGCTGAACCACATTTCATACAAAAAAAAATTTAAATAAAAAATTGACTGATTCATAATACAAAATGTACAAGGTAGAGTCTAAATTTGTATGAATGAAAACAAGAAGCAGTTTTTTTTTCTTCGGTTGTATTTACGCTTTTTAAACCTACAACCCGTATAAATATGACTAAAAACGACATTTATGAAATATAAAAGGGTAAAAAATTATACTATCACAACAAAAGTAAAAGGAATATTTTTGGAAAAAAAATTAATAAGTTATATATTTAATGAAATAGAGCAACTTCACGTGCGATCTCGAACGTATTTATGCACGGGGGAGAGGCTTTAATGGTTGCATCTCTGATAAATCTATAAAACTCAGTTTTCTTTCAATTCAAAAAGCAATGGATAGTTCATTTCCCAGTGACCATGCGGGCGAAGCCGCGGGTAACAGCTAGTAATCAATAAAGCCTTTCAACAGTATGGCTATATCACTAAATCCTTTAAAAACTTAAAATGATCATCTACTTTCTTAATTCTAACACCGGTTTACCGTGTTGAACCGGACTCCGGTTCAGGCGAGCAACAAATGGCGTTATATACATTTGTAAAACGAATATGCTGAATTCTACAGAGTGTCGACGAATAAAACACTGCAGGAGTATCTATCGTCTCTGTATTAAAATATTCACTAACCCAGGGTGAAATTGTTGCAAAATCTTTCTAAACTAGAATAAATGGCAGACTTCACAACTTCAATTAAATTCTAGCAAATTTTAGTTATCTTACGTCTAACTAGAAGCATGTTTTAGTTATTTTATTACTAACTAAAAATATGGTCGATTTTATTACTTTTAGAGCTCTAAATTTTAATTTAATTAACTAACTTTTCCTGTTAACTGGTATAGAATTCCTCAAGGCGTTAAGAGAAGGCATAAATAATAAATAAATAAAACAAGTGTGATTAATATCTGCGATACGGGAACGATAGCCACGCAAAACATTTTTATTTCACAACACAATCGAGTATCAAGACATCAACCCACAGAACAATCGCTGAGTCCAGGGTGCGTAATCTTAATACAAAAAATAGAGAAATGAATAGCATACTAAAATTAGTAATTCAAACTCTCATGTTCAGAGGGCAATGGTAGTGCTGCAAATATTTTAAACCTTCGCTAGATGGCGCTGTATAATTTTTATAGTAGATTTTGAATTGTTCTCCCATTGCATAGAACACAAACAAAGAAATGTCAACTTTATAATAAATTTAATATTAAGATTCATGATCACAGAGTACATTGTATATACACGAAATAGAGACCAAACTTCAAGGCTAAAATTGGAAATGCATCACTAGCGCCCCTAGACTTTGAAGTTGGTACTAATGTCATCGACTATATAACCTAATAGCTACCTACTGTATATGTATGTTTATAATATGTATGTATACGTAGCTGCTATATATTACTATTCCAACTTTTCCTTTGTTATTTGGTTTAATAATTTCGTAAATAAAACAAACAACATTCAATTTAAAATATTTTATTTTTTTCTATAGTGCTCACAAATTTTTTTTGCTTTGATTTGAAATATATCATTCATATCGTTTACTTTTGATCAATCAAAAAAATCATGAATCTTAATATTAAATTTATTATAAAGTTGACATTTCTTTGTTTGTGTTCTATGCAATGGGAGAACAATTCAAAATCTACTATAAAAATTATACAGCGCCATCTAGCGAAGACTTAAAATATTTGCAGCACTACCATTGCCCTCTGAACATGAGAGTTTGAATTACTAATTTTAGTATGCTATTCATTTCTCTATTTTTTGTATTAAGATTACGCACCCTGTTCATGATTTTTTTGATTGATCAAAAGTAAACGATATGAATGATATATTTCAAATCAAAGCAAAAAAAAATTTGTGAGCACTATAGAAAAAAATAAAATATTTTAAATTGAATGTTGTTTGTTTTATTTACGAAATTATTAAACCAAATCATAAAGGAAAAGTTGGAATAGTAATATATAGCAGCTACGTATACATACATATTATAAACATACATATACAGTAGGTAGCTATTAGGTTATATAGTCGATGACATTAGTACCAACTTCAAAGTCTAGGGGCGCTAGTGATGCATTTCCAATTTTAGCCTTGAAGTTTGGTCTCTATTTCGTGTATATACAATGTACTCTGTGGCTCAGTCTTTACTTGACTTTCGTTCCACGCGTTCAAGTCCTGTGTTAAGATGATGAATCAATCGCTGCAATCTCTCTTAAGTGAATATTCACACATTGGACATTTGTTTGTTGATTGTATGAGGAGAAACCCGGACTTTACTTGTCAGGTCAGTTATTTTTAAAAATCGTAACGCATATCATTTTTAAGCTATATTGCACAAGTTCTCTATAATAGGTCAAAACCCCAGAACCGGAATTAAACGCTTTTTAGTAATTACGGTGCTCGTGGAAATATTTTTATTGCAATTTGAAATACACACGCGTTATTTATTTCTACGAGTCTTACAGTTAATTACACACATTATCTACTCTGAGGTACTTATCAGGGTTACGTTAATAGATACTATGCATACAAATAGATATGGCGCTCTTGTCGATAATATTATTTAAGTAAAAATATATTGTAATAAAAATTTTTAATTCTTTACAAAATGACTTGACTTTTAAAAGTAAAATTTTTGTAAATTGTTTATTTATTTCAAAATTATCAACTTTTAAAGGAAAGTAAAAGCTGAATTCAAAGAAGTTCATTCTTTCAAAAAATGAACGCTCGGTGCTAAGATCAGTCCACCTAATGGTAAGCAGATGCTGGGGCCCATAGACATCTACATCTATCCTTATTTAAGAATCAAAAAGTAGATTTAATGTTACTTCTGAGGGCTAAGATGGACCTCGTTTCCAGCTAATATGGTCTCCGGTATTCCATACTCCCCATACGAAACAGAGCAGCATTGTCCCCTTAAACACACACACATGCGCGCGCTTGCGCGCGCGCGTGTGTGTGTGTTTCGGTATTCGTATTATGTTAAAAACGTTTCTTTAACATAACTTCGAGATTTCGCAAGATAATTTGATGAAATTTGAAGCACTTTCCATTTGAAATTAGCGGGAAGTTCCAGGGATCAACTGCAACTGCAGGGTCGAACAATTTTTTTAATATTTTGCTTTGTTTGAAAGATTCGAATATAAATTAGTGATTAGGAACTATACTATAATATGTTGTTTTGATATATAGATAACTTCATAATTCTTTGGATTTACATAAAAAATTATTTTAAATCATGTGTGAACGCTTGTACAAAGTTATTGCGGAATGATTGACGTGAAACGTTAAAAGGTATTTCTTAGATTTTGTTGAGTAGCATTTGGTATCAAGGATCCGAAATAAATCGGAGCAAGCAAAAACAAACTTTATACTCGGATGGATCTGTAACTCTGTAGTGTATGACTATGGCACGGCAAATAACGGATTCGAAACCTGCACAACATATAAAAAAAAGTATTTGTATTGCCTACAAATGATTGCTTAGGTCTGGACGCATCTGAGTTTTGATTCTTAATCAATGATATAGATATAGACGTCTATGAACCATTAGCATCTACTTATCATCTCATAAACTGTTAGTCACACTTATTCTACTAAATCTTTTACTGCATATTTACTGCTTCATAAATTAATAAATGTAAACAGATTGATGCAGCAACAGGACAGGAAGAAACAAATGCTTCGGTGCTGTCGCGATCTATTCGCCTGGCTCAAGCGCTGAGAAAGTTTGGTCTGCGGCCCGGAGATGTATTAGCGTTAGGAGGCAACAACCATTTGGATCTTCACATACCATATTACGCTGCGTTATTAAATGGCTATCCAATAGCAGGCGTAGACCCCTTATTTAAGTATAGTAAGTAATTGCATTACCCCACCTCATCCGGGTGTTATTAAGGCGGCTTGTGTAAAGGCTCAGATCTTTAGCCTCCGATATATAACGATGTATATTTTAAAATAATCTTGCTTTGATGTGATAAAATTCTTGAAGACAGATTGATTTAAAATTTCATAAATTATGTACATTTAGTATATATATATATATATATATATATATATATATATATATATGTATTTAAACTGCCTCCTTGGTCTAGTGGTTGTAGTAGTGCGACTGCTGATCATGAGGTCCTGGGTTCGAATCCTAGGTCGGGACAAAAAATTAATTATCGAGTTTTTCCGTCAAGAAATTCTCAGTAGTTGCCCGGAGTCAGGAAGTTGGCGGGTTCTCACCCCGTGCCTCGGAAAGCACGTGAAGCCGTTGGTCCTGCGCCTGATCTCTCTCCGATCGTGTCAGTTTACCGTCCCATCGGATTATGAGAATGAGGAAATAGAAAGTGCACCTGTGCTTGCGTATACACTTGGGCACTATAATCCTGGCGCCGATGGCCAGCCTCCGTTGAGGCAGGCCGCCGTGGCCGGAATTCGGTCTGGAAGACATTATTATTATTATTATTTATGTAATCCACAACTAACTAACAGACACAATGGTTTAGTGGTTGTAAATGCCGTGACTGATCATAAGGTCCTGGGTAATATATATATATATATATATATATATATATATATATATATATGCCCAGATGGTCTTGTGTGGTTGCCGGTGGTCGAAACTCGGTCATGTGGAGGACATTACAAGCCACAATTGCAAATTATGTTTGTCCTTAAGCATACCTATAATATTACTTTGGGTGTTTGCATTCCTATGTCTTAAAGAATTTAAATGTGCCATCAGAATTGTGCTAATATGTGTATCGATTATACGCAGTTGCACAGATTACCTAACACTTGTAATTAAATTATTTAACATCTAAAAGGAATAATTAACACATTTTTTATTATTCTTCTTAATTTCAGGTGAATTAAGGTCATTATTTAAAATAACGCAGCCAAAAATAGCTTTCTGTCAACGTACGTCGCTGGAGGAATATGAAAGAGCGGCTCATGATTTAGGTCTAGATATGAAGATAGTGACTTTCGAAGAAGGAGAAGGTTCTATGAAAGAGTTGTTAAGCACATACGATATTATTGAACCAGAAGCTGAATTCAAGTGAGTGTTGGCAATAAAAGTTTGTCAAGGGTTATTAATTGCAGTTCTTGATCTTAGATTAATTACGCACAAAAATCGTGTCTCAAACAAATAAAGAGCGCTATGGTAAAGACATTATTGTTACGAGAAAAACTGCCGATTGAATTACCAAAATTTACATTTTTATTAGAGAACACCAATTAAAACTTAAATCACACTAATAATTAATCACACTAATCACTTTTAGTTCACTTTATTTCGCTCTCGACTAAATGCAGAGAGTTCGAGAGTCGTCCCTTCTAGAAAGCTTAATTCATCAACTTAGGCGCGCAACATTATATTATTCTACTACTAATGGCCTATCTATACTATACAATTAATACGACAACTCAAAAGAAACAAAAGTAGGTACCTATATAAGTTCATATACTTTTACTTTTTAAAAAAATTAAGTTCGGTGACGGTGATTCAAATTAAATTATGCTTAATAGTTCTAAGACTAGTGACCGTCTGCTTCGCTCGCGTGAATTTGGAAATTACGACAATTTTGTTTACAGTTTTTTCCTGAAGAATATTTCCCTAAAGAACTATACTTTTTTCGAGGCACGTGTACAGTACCGTGTGTGCACTTACTGCGTCTTCTTACATAGCAAATTTGAAGTCTCTGTTAATTATAGTTACGAAATTGTGGCAATTTTAAAGCGGGAATTTTAGTCTTCTTCATTCCCTATCTCGTAGCAGTTTAAAAAAAACCCGAAACGGAAATAAGCAACTTTAAGTCAAAGAGATAAATCTTCTTTTTGATACCGTGGGAATTCCAAAAAATTATTCCATTAAAAGCTCTAAAAGAAAATCATTTAAGTAAAGATTTTTAAGAAAATAATGTTTGATATTATAAAAGTTGTCTCCAATCTAAATTCGATGATAATTATACCCATGTATGAGCAAATACATAAATAGTTCCCTATCTAGTTTCGTCTTTTCTCTTGAACTTCCCCTTTCTTTATAACTGAGTATGCCAGGCATGGCAATAATGTCAATTCATTTTTAACTAATTGCAGTCTAATGATAATAATATTGTTGTGTGCTATAATTAGCGCTCGATATATGGCGGGTGATTATGAGCGCAATCTGGTATCAGGCAGCAGAAATAGGAGCGTCAAGATCATTCTGGAACTCCGCCAATAGCGCTATCTAGTATCGAATAGAAGAACTAAGCTTTCTAGAAAACTCCACACTCGAATTTTCTTACATCTGGTCGGTCACGACCGTTATTTGCTGGAACATTCTAGATGTTTCGGTGGAAAAGGCCTATATAAAGCCGTTTAAGGCCGCGACCGGGGCAGTATTGTATTGGTAATACGAATGAAGTCTTAAAGTGAATTAAAGTTTTAATTGTGATTAATTATTAGTGTGTATTAGTTTTAATTGGCGTTCTGTAATTAAAGTGTCAATTTTGGTAATTCAATGGGCAGTTTTTACTGTCACGCAACCTAAGCTCATAACAATATATTTTAATAAAACTTCCATTTTTCATTACAGAATAGCCAAATTTGACGTTGATAAAGTATATGCATTCCTAATAAGCACTAGTGGCACTACGGGCTTCCCCAAAGTAGCAGCCTTCAAACATCGAATTACAATGGAAAAGTTTCTTACTTTCATGAAATATTCAAATAAAATGTAAGTACCTACATATATATATATATATATATATACATATATATATATATATATATATATATATATATATATATATATATAATCGCTATAACCTCCCGGAATTGTGTGTGTGCGCCAGTAGCGAAACAAAAAACGTCGATTAATTCACTTAGACTATGGCTTAGTAAAATTAAGAATTTTTATTCATTCGGTTTGTAATACTTATTTCTATCAATGAAAGTTTATCAAGCAAATAAGCTACATCTATCATCTTACAACAAAAACTTAGTCGAATAAGGCGGAATTTCGTAATCGTATTATTTAAAATACATCGTGAAAAGGTTACTATGAAATCTACTTAAATTCAGTCGATATATTTCCGCAAATTTATATTTTATCATTTATTACAGGCCTACCATAATATTTTTTAACTTTCTAATGAAATTATAATTAACGCCCCCGCAATTCCCGCAATCCCCCCTCCATAAGTGAAATTTCGTAAAATTCATTCTCAGTTGAACTCAAGATGAAAAAAATAATAATTTTGCGAAATTTCCTAACCTGTAGGAGCTATAGATTAAAAGTTTAAATATTTTTATTTTTAACGCCCCCGCACTGACCTGGTGGAATTTCATAAAATCTGTTCTTGGTAAATTTTAAAATGCCAAAAAAATATTCTGGCCAAGTTTTATACATAATATAATATAAGAGCTATAGTTTTAAAATGTAGCTTTTTTAATTAACCGGCTACCTGCAAGGAGAGTTCCGTTGCTGGTAGAATTTCATTAAATCTTAGACTTCTACTCGGCTAAAGGAATATTCCTACCAAAATTTCAAGTCTCTAGGGCCTAGAGATCTCTGGAACCATAAGGCCTAGAGTCTAGTTCCAGAGATATCGTGATGTCAGTACATAGGTGGAAATCGCATGTAAATATTTTTTTTATAGGATAGGGTGGCAAACAAGCACAAAGTCCACCTGATGGTAAGTGGTTACTGTGGCCCATAGACATCTACATCTATCCTCGATTACGAATCAAAATGCAGATGCGTTTTCACCCGTGAGGACTAAGATGGAATGCCTCGTTTCCAGTAAAAAAGGGCCTCCGGTTCTTTACTCTCACTATACGAAACACAGCAGCATCAAGCTACTATTTGACGCTGGTATTCTGTGAGAGCGTAGTCCATAACCGGTCACACCGACCCATTCTTGCTACAACCTGCTGAGCTCTGTTAAAATGTAAGATATAGCCAACGTAATAAATTACCACGATTTCCGTTAAGTGACATTTTATGTATCAGTAATCTATGATAGTTATTTTGAGATGATTTTGAATAAGCAAACTTTATATTTTGACAGGAGCACGATAGGACTAAACTTGTCTCCCGTTCAATGGATATCGGGGATTTTTAACGCTGTTGCCATGCCGATTTCAAGCCAAACCAAGGTACAAACCTCTAGACCGGATGATATCGACCATTTAATTGAGATGATTAACAAATACAAGGTAATAATATATTATAACAAGACAACAATACTCTATTCTTATAAAAATGAAGTGACAAACAAACTATATATATATATATATATATATATATATATATATATATATATATATATATATATATATATATATATATATATATATATATATATATACTATACTACAGCTACGAAACAAAGAAACCCTACACGACACCTACGAAACAAAGAAACCATACACACTACACTTACGAAACAAAGAAACCCTGCACTACACCTACGAAACAAAGAAACCCTGCACTACACCTACGAAACAAAGAAACCCTACACTACACCTACGAAACAAAGAAACCCTACACTACATCTACGAAACAAACAAACCCGGCGTTCTTAGGCTTGTACTTTTGCATTCAAGCACAACATACCAATGATAAAGATAAAAATTCATTATGAAACATCCAAAAATATCTTTTTTGTCTGCGTAATAGTTTTATTTACAGTGTGAGCAGTGACGTCACTAGTTGAACGGCATGGTTGCTGGCGTTTTCGCGCGAAATTTTAAAACGATAAATAAGTAATTTTTATTACACTACGCGGTTTTAAAAACTTGTGTAAAAATTATTGTGGTTCATTATCACCCTATTCCTATGACTCATTCAACTAGAACGTCGCCTTAGAATGGGATATTTACAATAATATACAGTATAATCGAATGTGTGTCGAGTTCAACCCTTACATTTATTTATCACTTTTTTATTTTTAATCCTATTTCTGACACAACCAAGTTAAAGTGGTCATCACATCATAAAAATAATTACTTACTAAAATAAGTTATAAAAAAGATGCTAAGCATTGCAAAGCAACCTACTCGTAATGTACATTATTTGTTTCATCAGCCCCCCTCGATGTTTATGAGTCCGGCTCTGATGTTGGTACTGTTAAGGCGCTGGGACGAAGTGGACCTCAGTTGTCTAAAGGAGATCCTCATAACAGGGGCGAAGACTAACGTGGCTGCCATAAATGAACTACGGGTATGCATTTGTTTTTAAAATTAAATTATTATATCAGTTCAAGGTGCCCATTAGTTTACATAACATTTTATCCTAATATTCTCAATATTAAGGTTAAAAAAATAGTTTTAAATTTAAGGTTATGTTTAATTGAAAACATTGAAATATATAAAAAAATTAAAACTGTGATAAAAAAAACTAAAGCTCAAAACTTAATTTACCTTACATTCCTCCTCGTGGTATCTTGTCAAGAAACTGCATTTCCTTACTAGAAAAACATTATATGCGTCATGAGCCAACTCATGTAAAGGTTTTTTCGCATAATTGTTTATTGCGATATTTCTTTATATTGGTTTCATTGTCATAATTATAACTTTATTCATTGTGTCTTTACTGACCGTAAAATGTAACCTATTACGTAAGTGTTGAATTTAAAAAGTTATCTGAAAGTTATCCGATACGTCGCCTCAGTGCTTGTTAGGCCAATAGACCATTTGAGTAATTTTACAGGAGCAATGTTTTTTGTTTTTCTATGCTATGACTCAAATAAAGCCGTAATGTTCGGTAGTTTCCAAAACTGTGGCACATCTGGACTTCTAATAATCTGTAAAAAATAAAAACTTCTGACTTTAACATTGTGTAAAACCGGTTTAAAAATGGATATTGGACGAAAAAAACGAAACTGTAATTACGATAATGGATATACACTACATTCCTTGGGATGTTAGCCAAAAAGCAACCAAAAGTATTCTGTGCTTGTTTGCCCTATAGCCTTACTTCACAATACAGGCTGTGAAATTAAACAAATCCACTGCGCATCATTATTGTATGTTATAATAAAATTAATAAATAAATTATAAATTGTTATTTAACAGGCTATGATCTTATCTAACAGGCCTGAATTAAAATTAAATGTTGAATTTATAGATATATACTACCGGTGCCCTGCGGTGTCACTCGCATATAATTTTAACGAAAGGTACTGTCGTTTTGAGTTAGCTTGACAAAAATGTGATTTTTGTGTGGGAAAGGAATTTATGTGCGGAATTACTTCTTCTATTTTGCTTTCGGCGGTCTGTTTTTATGTGTTTTCCTTTAGAGGGTGTGGGAATCAATTTCAATTTGTTGTAAAGTTTTTTGTAGAAATAACAAATTCTTTTAGCCGATATATTCAAAGTACCACAAAAAAACTTCTGACACACTTTCACTTTTTGCTCGTTTTTCGAAAAGAAGTACTATATACTAATTCTTCAAATAGTTATTTTTACTCTAATATATTATAAATGTGAAAGTTTGTGGGGATAGATAGATAGATGTTTGTTACTTTTTCACGCAAAAACTACTGAACGGATTTGGATGTAACTTTGCACCCGGGTGACTTATATCCTGGATAACACAGGCTACTTTTTTCTCGTGAAACAGCAGGATGACACTAGTACTTTATATTTTATCTACCTATACTTTTTCGATTATCAACCTACGGTTCTTTTTATTTTTAACCGACTTTCAAAAAGGAGGAGGCTATGTATTCGATGCATATTTTTCGTTTACAAGTGATCCTCAGGTATTTTGGTTTCCTAGTATGGGGGCCATAAGTAATTCTATCTTGTTATTGTGATTTCTTTGTCAAATAAGTTATTTTGTGTTTGTATTTTTTTTGTGTTACCAGTTGTGCCCCACGGTTTCACCCGCGTAAGGCCCGTTCCTAGATTACTGGAACAAAATTAGCATGTTCTTCTTTAGAGTTTCATCTATCTATGTACAAAATTTCATCAAAATTTGTTCAGCGATTTAGGCGTGAAAGCTTAACAAACATTCAAACAAACTCACTTTCGCATTTATACCTAATATTAGTAAGTACATTTATATGCTCAGTTCAACATATTAAAAGCCCTTTAAAAAATTCCTGAAACCCCTTCCAACCTTGAATCACTTAATAACGCCTTCAAACGCATACATACCAAATAAATAAACTGAACAAACAAACAGAACAAACAAACAAACGCGTAGTGCCCGTTCCCATAAGAAAAAGTATTCCCACTGAGAAAGGATATCCCAAATTATTTAGTATCAAATTAACTATCTTTAAGTGAAAATCCCGTCTAAATTGGTCCAGCCGACCCAGAGATTCGACCGTTTGAAAAAACAAACAAACTCTTCAGCGTTGTGAGTATGACAAAAATATAATATAACCACCCTGTATTACAGACACAACGTGACCTAAAATAATACTACAATGACTAAAATCAACTTACATTCGTAGTATGCAGTACTGCGGTTATACTGTTTATCACAACTGGTCCAGGACATAATTTTCAAAGTTATGGAAACACTTTCCACCTCGTTTCACTTGTAAATTCACCGAAAAACTTAAAAAAATCTTGCAGTTCTAACACCGTTTTGCGTCGCGATAGATTGTAAATAAACAATATGGCGGAACAGCGAGGTGTGACGTCATGAGCGAGCGGGCCTGTGATTGGTTAATTTGAGGATATACGACAAACAAGCACGCGCTGGGAATTCCGCTATATGAATGTTGGTTCATTTGTGGTGGTAAGCCATACAAGCACGAAAATTAAAATTGTAACTGTGGATATTGGTTTTTTAATATACATAGTCTGTTACTCGTTTATTGGTATAGTTACACGAGTCATTCTTGATTTAGATTGTGTAGAATTTCATTCTTAAACATACTATATTCAAAGGTCATTTTCGTCCAAATTGGTCTGTTAGCCAAACAAGCACTGAGGCGACGGATAGATGACACCATTAACATTTCGTATATTTGTCTATAAAAATCGTATAAAAAATTATAATAAAAAAACTAAAACTAAAAATTTAAATTATCATAGAGTCCTACTCCCTATGGTATCGTGCCAAGAACACTTAGCCGTTGAGCGAGAAAAGAAACTTCACTGCACGTGGACCCCACGGACAGACAGTCTCTACAGCAAACGGGACAAATATGTAGTCACTTCTCAAAGACTCATATTTGCGCCATTTACTTAATTTAGCGCCCCGGTTCTAAAAAAGGTATCCTTGAGATGACAGGCCCTGCCAAAGTGTCTACGCAAGATCTCATACTAGTGCTTTACCTCTCTCCCAAGGGACCAAAGTCATACCGTCGGGTCTCTTGCCATCGTCTCTAAATATCCCACAAGGCTCTAAAACCGAGGGAGCATTTATAGAGACAAGAGCCCTGACACAAGAGGTTGATAAATTGCCGCTCCTAGACAAATTCCTATAGCTATATATATATATATATATATATATATATATATATATATATATATATATATATATATATATATATATATATGTATATATATATATATATATATATATATATATATATATATATATATATATATATATATATAATTATTTGTAGTAGGATATTTTTGACGGGACAGAGCATTAGCTATGTTTGCTTTGCCGCCGCAGCAAAGCACAGGTCTACTTTATCATCTAAATGTATGTCAGTCACATAAGTTATTCACACTATGCACGGAAGGAAGGAAAGCAGGCAATGCAACGCTAGAAAGATTTCCTACACCAATACCACCAAATTTTATAGGTAATGTAGGCTTTTTTGTTTAAAGTCAAAGTTAAAAAAAATTCTATAGCTATTTTAAGATCATTATTTTTTTTAAATATCCGAACATTTCCAGACTGGACTTGAGCGTAATAAGTATGTAAATTTAGGTACAAGAAGACAATATTTTAAAATAGTAAGGGAAGTGTGGGGGTTCAAAATGTACTGTTTATCAACATGGTTTAAAAATTGATCAAATTTTGTTTTTAAAACAAGTTTAATATTATCGAAAAACAACGGAACACCGAGCAGGTATAGTGATTTAGCATTGACAGTTTTTATTCCTGGATAAATAAAATTGAAATTTTGAATTAAAGTATCCCAGAACTAAATAAATTATTGGAAATAAATATTTCACAGTTATTACTATTTACTTCAAAACCAATTTTTTAAAATATTAAAAAATATGAGTAATATCACTAATGACGTCATCTGCGTTACCTCCCAGAGTAACGTCGTCCAGGTATCAGACATTCAGCTTGGATTTCAAATTAGAGATAATAGGTTGAATTCCCAAACTGAAAAGAGCTGGATCTAGTGGGGTTCACTCTGCTGAACACCGACAGCAGAATCTATAATATGGTTTTCATAAAAAAAAGTTCAAATTTTGACTGTAACATTGCCAAACGTAATGGTAAATTTCGGGGCTATTGTTAGCCACTTCTTTCAAGGTTACCCTGTCAATAGTGTTAAAAGCATTTCTAAGGTCAATCTTCAGAAGAACATGTGGAGTAGAATTTGTTACAACAATCAGCCCTGAATGTACCGCCGCCTCAAAGCCACCTTTAGTGCCAAAGCCTAGTTTTGTCTTAATGTTAGTGATTACGTGCCTGTAAGCTAATTTTGGTTTTGGTTAAGCGTCGAAATGTGGAACCAACAGCAATAAGACGGATACTGTTGTCTTTTTTTTTTTTTTGAAGGCACACAATCTTGCCCCATATAAGTAGGGACTGAAATTAAGATTTACATTACAAGAAAGCATATAATTACAAAATTTTTTTAATATCATTAAGAAGTACTCTACCGGCGTCACCGACGGACATGCTTACAATATCAAAGAAAAGGGCAAAAATTGCGTCTAAAGTGTCTTTCTCAGATTTTTTTAAAATTGAATTGGGTTAGGTTGCATTGAAATATTGGGGGGCAACGGTAAATTCTCAGAAGGATTGACCAAACGATGCTTCTAACGAAGGCCTTCAAGAGTTTCGACATTATGGGGAGCGAGGATGTCGTCTGGAATGCATTTTTTTAAGTTGCCATGCATTGCTTTCTATTTAACTGCTTTTTTTAAATCAAATTTAGGTTGAGATCAAGATAAATCAGTATTAATTGGGTAATCTAAATTTTGAAAAGAAGTCTGTTTCAGTTAAAACGTAATTGATTTATTTATTGTTTTATTAAAATGAAAATGGGAATACGCGAATGTAAATAATTTTTGCCAACTCTTTTCACAATTAGTAAAAAAAATTTGAAAAGTGCATGACAATGCTTTAGCAAGTCGTCCTCGCACCTCTGGGAATTCTTTTCGCCACAGTTACGTTACTACGAAAATTGTACAATTGTTCCTAAAAAAAGTAAAAAATTTGTGTTAATAAAAGAGTTATGAATTTCTACGGTAGGCTGTAGCATCCTTTAATGTGTATATTTAGTGCCATTTTACCATTAAACAGCCTGCCGTCTGTACAATTTTTAACTGACAATTTTCAGGAATATTTTTATTATATTGGATTATATATAAATCAAATTCAATATTATTAAAATCTGAATATTTATAACTTAAATATCCAATAGATTTTAAATTAATTAAAGGATTATTAAGTTCATCTAATAAATATAAAAATCGTAATGAAGATAAAGCAATAAAGATTAATGTAATTGCATGAATAATAGTTTAAAATAATTGAATTATTTGGCCTTCTAATAAAAATCGATTAATAAATTTATTAAATAATCTACTAAAATAGTAATTATAATTAAAGTAATTAAAGATAATTTGTTCTATTAGAGGTGAAACACTCAAACACTTAGAGCTGATGTGAAGAATCGACGCTCCGGGAAGTCTGCAGTCTGTGAACACGTACAGGATCGCCCCCGTCACTACATCAGATTTGATAGACCGCAAATCCTCGCTAAAGAACACCGATTCCTTCCAAGGATGATTCGCGAGGCTATTGAAATCAAAAAACATCCTAATTTCAATAGAGAAGATGGCTGGGTGCTACCATCTGCTTGGGATCCTATAATAAATAAAATTAAATCCCAACCCAAGCATACAACTGCAAGACTTCAAGATACCATAAGTTCATACTGCATAGATCGGAACAAAAGTTAAATTTTAATCTATGGTAACCGCGGTTAACTATGACATATGGACGTTGAACATCTCAGTCCTGCCCGTGACCATGAGTGCTATAAAGCGTTCGAAACGTCGGGTATTTAAAAAGTTAAATATACGCGATAAATTCCGTAAAAACTAGTATTATTTCAAGGTGAAACACTATTTTGAAGATTAAAATTAGATCAAGTTGGCATTTCTAAAAAAAAGGATATTCCTTTATAAATGGGGTTTAAATCCATTACATATTATCTGCCATATTAGAAGTTTCTTAAAATAGGTAATTTATTATAAGAATGTTTTGAAGGAGGTAAATTTTGTAATCACTCAATTGAAGAAGAAAATAAAATTATACGTTGATTAATTATAGATTCTCAAATTATTATTATTATTATTGATAATAAAGAAATATATGAACCAAATGAGGAAATAATATTTCATAAAGTAAAACTATCAGGATAATCAGAATATCGTCGAGGTATACCTGATAGAAAATAGAATCCGACTGTGAATTTACCGGAGCGTCAGTATTCATTAAAAATTTTAAAAAAGTACGTAACGTATGTAAATTACTAAAAGCACTCAATTTTCTCTATATTATATAAACTCGTTATAGGATTTCTATTACAAAATTAATTCAAAACTGACCTTGGGAATTAATTTTGTTTCATAAATGCGAATTCGACATCATTGATGTCACGTAATACATAAAACAAATTGTTTGTATTTTTTTCTAAGGGAACGCAATAAAGATTTAAAATAAATAAATAAAATGTAGCCTACCAGCCGCATGGCGTAGTGAACAGACCGTTAGACTATAACGTCGGTCTTGATTTCAAATATTTACCAGAGCCGGTATCTGTACGAAATTAAAAAATTTGAATCTGTCGAGTTGTGAGAACTTTTGTAATTGTATTTACGCGAACACTACACATTAAATACTACTTTTACGGATTTTATTGTGTTCTATTTAACTTATTTATTTACCATTTCATATAATTAGTTAAATTAAATGCGATAAAATCCGTAAAAGTAGTTCAATTCAATCTTTTTTTTTAGTAAAGCATTGTTGAGTACACTAAGACTTTCTCCTCTATTGTGGAGACAGTTCATAAATTTCACTGGAACAAACATTAACAACAAACAAAAAATATTTGTAGGTCAAACAAAAACAAATACTGGATTCAAACCTGCAGATGACACCACAATCTAACGGGTCCATCTTCGCTTACCTCATCTTAAAGATATTTATTTTGTAAATTCTCGCACCGCATTTGTGATTCCTTATCATTCGCGTTATTCATTAAGCTAAAACAAATCAGATACCTCTGAATCCTTTGAATCTGCATTATTCTGGTCTGGATACTGCTTCTACTTACAAATTCCAAAAGAAATAAATATTGGTTTGTTTATATATTCACACGGATATTTATTTATTAAGTTTTTAATTATGTATATTATATACACATTGTACATTAGGTATATGTATGTATGTATCTTTAAATTTATGTCGTGAATGTATACACTATGTTTATATATTTTTAATATATTTACACTTTGTACAAATGTAACAATGACCCTGTAGTTCTCGTTAAGTGCAATATCAGAATCAGTATTCAAACGTATAGATCGAACTTTTTTTTAAAACTCGATCATTAAAAAAATTAATTTTAATCAAAAATTAAAATTATTTATAAATTGTATGTGCTGTATTACCTCTGCATTGTCAGAGGAGTGAAAGGAGAGACCTTCTTTTACCGATGCTCGTGTCAGTTATATGTAATAAAACCACATAAAATACCAAAATGTTTTTTGAATTAAATAAAATTTTTAATGGTACATTTTTCTGAAAAAAAAAAAATGTGTTTTAATACTGATTCTGATAAGATATAAGTGCGGGAACGGGAACGGGTTTTTTTTATATGCTGTACAAGTAAGATGTTACGCAAGTGTCAACAATTGTTTTTGGCACACAAGGTTGAATTTCAGAGAATGCCACATGGCATAGAGTGCACCCTATGTACCATTAGTTTTAAGATGTTTAATTTAAGCTTTTCTAATTAAATAATAATTAATAATTTATTTGAAATGAATAACAGGGTCGTCTTCATAAAAACACCAATATTAAGGAAGCATACGGTATGACGGAGACTTTGGGACCAGTGTTAACTCCAAACGTGAATGGCCCCGTTGGCAGTTGCGGCAAGCCTACACATGGCTATGCCATAAAGGTAACTAAATGTTATTATAAGAAGTGCCGCGTAGTTGCGGCGTAATAGAAAGTAGCCTATATTGCCCCGTGGGTGTCGTAAAAGGCGACTTGAAACTGGGGATGGGCAGCAGCATCTTTCTGGTGACAGCTCGAAATAATAAAATGAATGACGGCCAACCCGCTTACCGAGCGAGGTAACAAATGACAAGTATGAGGCCATCTATTGAGGACGCCTGTGTTTAGCTACAGACATTTGATCACCTGTAATGAATGATTTTATACGTGGAGTCACGCTGCAGCTATATTGTGTTTCTAGCACGAATAGATCGATCGGCAGAGCCAGAGAGGGACCACGCTCTCAAAGAATATCAGTGTATAATATGTTTTGTATGGTGAGCGTAGAGAACCGAGGATCCTTTTCTTTGGAAACGAAGCATTTCATCTTTGTCCTCAAGGGTGACAACGCAACTGCATTTTGAATCTTAATCTTAATCGAAGACAGATGTAGATGTCTATCATCTATCATCTACATCAACATCCACTTGCCACAAGTTGTACTTGTTGTAGCCGTTTGTCATCGTTAAAAAAATATGAATGAAAAGAATAGTAAAGTGTGTTGTAATAAATTATACTTAATAAATTTATAATCGTCGTTAATTGAATGAAGCGTATTATTGAGTTACCTGTACCTGTCAACACTGTGTATGCGATGTCAGATCGTTAATCGATATATGTATTGGAGCACTACGCGATAATTTTTATTCCCCTTGAGCAATTCGCTGTAGGAGTCAACTCAAAAGATAACATCTCTATGTGTGTTATTGGCTATAGAAATGATCGGTTTGTGTGGTCCACGTGCGACGCAATTGCTGAAGGTGTAGATCTACGATCGGTCACAGTCGCTAGTAAGAATAGTGATGGTTATTGTTTCACTCAAGGTTAAGTCCGTTTGAGTCTATGGGTATGTTCCGAAATACAACTCAGTACACTGGCAAATGCAAATGACGTCATCAACTGACACTATGTTGTACTAGCGTACCGCCGCCATATTGCGTCGGATATCCGGCCACAATAAAACAATTTTTAATTGTGTGTGTGCTGAATGAAGCATGCCAGAATTTGTTTTTATTTATTCAAATACTAAAAATTATAGAATAATTGCTGGTATCTTCATTAGGAAGATAAAATGATTTTTGGAGCACAAAATGACAAAATAATCGCCAACACTTTTCCAATATGGCGTAAATGTATGACGTCATATACTGTCCTATGTTTTGGAACGAATCACCAGTATAGCGTCGATTCATGACGTCATTCACATTCGACAGTGTACTGGGTTGTATTTCGGAACATACCCTATGGCAAAAACATTACTACTAGTCATCGAAGAATCAGGTAGCTCACCTTAACAAACTATACATATGTAGGTAAATTTTAATTTTTGTTATATTATTTTGGGAAATATTAAGACTTTTGTAACTGAACCGTTTAGATAATTATAAACGTTTACGTAAGTAAAATCCAATTTTTACTTTCATCAACAATTTTCAATTTATTTCAGCTAGTAGATCCTGATACTGGATCGGAAATAAAAGAACCATACCAAAACGGTGAACTGTTAGCGAAGGGCTTATGTTTTACGGTATGTTTTTAATTTTTTGTTTGTTGGGAAAGAATTTTTTTGCAAAAGAATTTGGGGAATTCTCTTATTTATCTTAATTTTTCTCTTATTTATATAATTTTTTTCTCTTATTTATCGGTTTACAGTAAAGTATATTTAATTCAATTCTCTTACGCCATTTCGTCCATTTCTCAAGGGTGTCTACTGATCTGAAATGCAAGAAATAATTCATGGTTTCTGACAGATAGCGGTATAACCGCAAATGCTAGTGCCTAATGTGTTAACTCACAGATTATAAGGTGTAATAAAATACTGAGACCACCGACGGAAAACAGCAAGTACCTATAAGCGATACTAGTAATATCAGAGGGCTAATGAGGGAAGAAGTTTTGTAATTTTACTGTTTACTAACTATTGTGTTATTTAATTGCTACAAACAATATAAAATGGTATTGATAAACACTATCTAAAGCAGAACATGTTGCGTTGTTTACCAATCAGTAACATTTACTATTTCTTATAGGTATCCTAATTTATACTTGCGCTTGTTGTAACTTGGTGAAACTTCATCTTCGTTGGTTATTTGTATTGATATTGTACTTGGTTTAAATACTCGTGATTGAAACAAGTACATCTGTCAATCAAAATCACAAATTACAGTATCAATATTTTTATCAAGGAATATTTGGGAAATCCAGAAGAGACGAGAAAGTCATTCACAGAAGATGGCTATTTCAAGACCGGCGATCTTTTGTACAGGGACGAGAAAGACAATTACTTTTTTGTTGACCGGATAAAGATGCTCATCAAGTTTCGCAATGTTCACGTATGTATTATTTTTAAAAATTTATAATGGTGGCTTCCCACGCCCTGTAATACCGCAGGTCGCGCCGCTGCGAACAGAAGTGCGACTGTGTAACTCTTGTTTTGATGTCTAACGATTATTTTCATCATATTGTGTAAATGTATTCACCCAGTAGACCGTGTTATGGCGGTGTAAGAATATTTCCTACCCCACATCGTCCCACGTGAGTGCTGTAAGAGGCGAGAGAAAAAAAACTGGAACAGTACACCAGGAGCATTTTCCTGTTATCAACTCAAAATTGCAAAAAACTGCGTTTGACAACACACCTGCCGAGCGTCGCAGCTGTGATGAAATACGCGCTATGAGACATTCTATGGGGGAATCTATGTTCAGCAGATAACTTATTTAGGCTGTAATGGATGCCACCTTGTTGACGACAGCTAATGGATTGGATCGACATTACACTAGCACAGCAGTCTACGGCGCCTCATAGATCAAGCTTCTAACGACGGCGTGTGGGCATGATTTGTGATATCACAAATCACAAACCATCGAAAGCTCCCTTTGTCTATTACGTTCTCTACTCCGTCTCGTTTGTTATGTCTAAATGTTTTTTAAGATAATACCGGATTTCATAGGAGACGCATTCGTCGATTCATAGTGTGAGCCCAAATTATTGGAAAAGGAATCCAAGTTAAAAAAAATAAAATAGTTGAAACTGTTTTTAAGTTAACTTGCAAAAAAGCAAACTTATTTAATACTATAAAATGACAGTAAGTATCAGTTCTTTTTTTATGTAGAACATTCCCGAATAACTTTGCAGGTAGTTCCGTCAGAGCTAGAGGAAGTAATACTTCAACATCATGGAGTGTTGGATGTTTGTGTAACTAGTATACCGCATCCAGACGACGACGAGCATCCAGTGGCGTGTGTCATTCGTAAACCAGATTCCATCGTTACCGCACAAGAGATAAAAGAATTAGTTAGCAGTAAGTGTGTTCCCGTAAGTAAGTGGCTGGCTGGAGGCGGTGTAAGAAAATCCATCACTCCATTTCTACCCATGGATGTAGTAATAAGCGACTAAGGAAAATACGAAAACTATCATACGGCATCCGATAAGTGTTGGTGTAATCATCCAGCTTATGGCAAACATAAAATACTTAGAGACCGGTGCTACGGTCGCCAATCCACATACCGAACACGGCTTTCTAAAACAGGGAGACCCATGTCAAGTAGTGAATTCTAACGGACTGTTGATGATGATTATGATAATAATGTAGTTCATGGCAGAGCTGTGGGTGTCGTTAACGACGACGACGACGACGACAATAAAACTATAGATGGACAGAAGCATCTTCCTGATGACAACTCAAAATAATAAAATACTGTACTTGCTCAACCGCCGGTCGAGCGTGGCAACCAATTAATTAGTGGGTATATCCCGCTAACGAGACAATTTAGCCACGTTTAGCACTTCAGCAATGGGTTTTAAATAGGCTGAAATGAATAAATGATCCATCCTCTGACCTTATCTATTACGACAAGTTACAGCATCTACGTCCCGATGCTGGGCACAGTCCTTATCTCAATTCTGAGCAGATAGGCAAGGGAATATCCGTCGTGCTTGTCGTGCGTGTTACCGGATTTCTTCGAAATATTTTTTTTATTTTCTCAATCATGCATATCCTACCGAGCACATTGAAAATCAGCATTTAAAACTGCAATTAACAATTTCATTAGTGCTGACGGGGAGGAGGGACGGAATTCGAGTTGCTCGCGTATTGTGAATTTTACAGCGAGTTCACCTGAGATACCACGGCTCAGCGTTGAAAAAGAAGACTAATAGGAAATTCAAAGAAAATAAAATCTGAAAAGATGCTAATCTAAAAAAATAATTTATTTTCAGACCACTTGTCAAAGAATAAGGTGTTATGTGGGGGTGTCGTGTTCGTCGATAAATTACCAATGACCTCTTCGGGTAAAATAGCGCAGGGAAAACTAAAAGAATTAGTGCTAAATGCTCGTCGAGAATGAAACTACCAAATATTCATAATGTGATATTAAATCGTGGTTGACAAAGTTTTTATTATTTTATTTAATTATTAAATCGTGGTTATTGCATTGACCGACTCCTTTCCACAATAATTGGTACGACATAGTAAAATGATGCAACGTTTTCCTTAAATGTACTGTTTAATTTTTCATATATTACTCCGAGCTATTTATATCAATTTATTTTATGTAAATTATTTTAGTGATTGTTTTTAATGAAATGTTTGTGCGAAGAATATAGTTTTTTTTAATAAATTTATAAATTGTGTATTTTATATTTTTTACTACTAGCTGTGCCCGAGTCTTCGTTTGTTGAAAGGAATGAGTAAGTACTCGTAATTTATATAATTAATTCGTTTGCCATCACATGGTAGCGGCGTATAAGGATTTATTATCCCATTTCTTCGTCCCCATAGTCTCGTGGGTGTTGATATGGTGGATGAACCACCTCTTTTTCGCGGTACATAAAATACCGTGACCGGCGATGGGCAGCTTGTACCAGAACGTGAGAGTTCTTTTATTGGTTTGCTGGACGATTCAGACAAATCATTCTTACGGCAGGAAAGCTCAATGTGTGAAGAAAGCAATTTTTTTTTATTGGATAAGGTGACAAACGAGCACACAGTTCACCTGATGGTAAGTGGTTGCTGCGGCCCATAGACATCTACATCTATCCTTGATTACAATTCAAAATGCAGATGCGTTGTCGCCCGTGAGGACTAAGATGGAATGCCTCGTTTCCAGTAAAAAGGGTCTCCGGTTCTCTACACTCACCATACGAAACACAGCAGCAGCCGACCTATAACTGCAGCATGGCTCTACCACGTATAATTATAATGTTTTTGAGACACACATTAATGCGACTAAAATAGAGAAGTATATAAAAAAATCGATTTTATACAATTTATAATAAAATATCTAAAACTCCTTAACAAAAAAAAAAACCTAATAAGGTAGATTTTATTCTACAATTATGCCAAACTTCAAGTAAATAAGTATTACGAAAAGTGGTCATGACAAATATGAAGGCCGTCAGACCAAACTCATCAAACGAATAATATTTAGTTAATATTGTTCGTTTGATGAGTTAGTTATTATTGAATTAATTCTTTAAACTTCCTACAAGTGAAGTAAGAATTATAGATTTAATATTAGTTTTCGATTATGTCGAGTTAAGGATAGTTTTTTTTTTTCAATTTATTTATCAGATCAAACAAAAATTACATTCCAATATAGGCTTAATTAACATCTAAAAACCACAGAGGTTTACCTTGATGCTAAATAATAAAATTTAAGGTTTCAATAGTTAGGTATATGAGTAGGTAGAAGGTGTAACAAGAATATAAAGACTAAAAAGGTAAGTTAACAACTTAGTTAAAGTCAGAAGTAGCAAGACAAAAGTAAAAGTAAGAGCTAGGCAGGTAGTACATTATTATTAAGTAGATATAGTATGTAATTATAATTTAGATAGGAAAAAGCTTTTGAATTTAGTTTTAATGTTTTGTCGTGATACTTTTTCGCGTACATCGAAAGATAAGTTATGTATTAAATGCGGTACCTGATAAGCAGCCGTTGCCCGTACACATTATTAGCAGTGATATGCCGGAGCCGGTTTTGTGTCATAGCGCGCGTACGCACTGGATGTTCTATATGTGATTTTAAACTGTCGCAAAAGAAATATTTTTTTTAATAACATGAATTTAATTTGGTCATAAACTGGTAAGATTTTACAATGTTTAAAAATCGCATTTTCATCATCATCAATTAGGACACGTATATTAGGGGATATAATATTTTTGAGAATACTAAATTGAAGATCATAGATCTGTTTTAAATATGATTTGTACGACAAGCCATACTGAATATAAGATTCAGCCAGGGAGTTGTAAAGCATAAGTCTTACTTTGAAGGGTACGCGATTTTTTAGGATTTTTATATTGGCTAGAAACTGACGCAACTTATTACACACATGTTCAATGTGGTAGTGCCAGTTAAACTTTGAGTCAATTATAAGGCCAAGGTATTTTTGTGTGGTTACAACTTCGATTGTAGGGCATTGGCAAGTTCCTAGTTGATGGAGGCAGTCGTGATTATGAGCAATTAATGGTTTTGGAGTAGGATGCCTCATATATGGAGATTAGATAATCATGAGTTTGGTTTTATTGGCATTTAACACTAGACCAACGTCATGGCACCATCGTATCAACATGTCTAAATCGGCCTGGAGAGCATTACACGCATTTGAGATATCCTTACCCGAAACGAGAAGACACGTATCATCTGCGAATTGGTAACAGGAACTGTGTTTCAGACAGTTATTCATCTCGTTGACATAAGATAAAAAGTGCAACGGGCCAAGTACTGATCCTTGGGCCGTGCCTTCTGTCACATTCTTAGGGTCACTGAACGCGTTATTTAATTTAACCGTAAATGTACGATTTTGGAGGTAATTTCTACACCAATTAAGTAACGGACCCCGGATACCACAATCATCCAGTTTATGGATTAAAAGTTGATGTTGCAGCCTGTCGAAGGCACGAGAAAAATCAATAAACAAGGCTAGTATACATTTTTTAAGGTTCAAACGCTCGTTTACTTCATCTGTAAACTTACATAGAAGGTCCGTAGTACTTTTACCTGCTTGAAATCCGTACTGGTTTTTGTTTATGACTTCAATTCACTATAGTGCAATTGGATGAATAAATAAAAAAAATTTAACTTTTTAATATGTTGAAATTTTTAATAACTAAGTATAATAATTAATTTACGCTACAATAATCACTTATTATAAGCATTCAGGGACTGGTGTTAATTCACATATAGCTAATTTTAAATTTCACTACAGAACAAACTTTTACAAAATTATTTCTTGAAGGAGTGGTCTACGCTATCTCTACTGGGCTTACATCAGCAATAAATAGTAGGAAACGGCCACCGTGTAGTTTAACGATCGTTTATCATCATGGTTTTTAATTTGCACGCGGCGGTCGAATTGCTACGGAAACTACGGAGTCATATTGTAGCATAATTATTACATAACTTTTTTAAATTGTGAAACACAAATAATAGCACGAGGCACTTCCCTATTTTCAACGTTGATATACCAAGTTGTAACTATAGAATAAAACACTTAAAGGAAATCCTACTATCACAATAATGTGTCAACCCAACAGCGTCTTTTCATTAAAGAGTAACGCTGAATAACACTAGAGAAATATAAAAAAAATATATAAAAAGACCAAGCAAGAATACATGTAAACTCTAAAGAATTATTAAAAAGAAGTAACTTTTAGACCAAGTACCAGGAATGCATGAAGACTCTACAGAATCTTTTTATTGTAGCGACGCCGAATAATATTTATGTTCATATTACAACCCATCTTGCCAACTACTGAACATAGGCCTCCCCTAAGGTAACCACGGTAAAAAGGCACGGTTTTGAACCATCTGCATCCAACGACTTCCTACATCTCTCATTAGGTTATCACTCCAACTTGTAAAGAGCCACCATACACTTCTCTTACCGGCGGAGTTACGAGTACCTTCAGTGATAGACTTCGTTATGAGGATACCCGCATTAGAACCAGAGTAACCAACATAGCGCAACGGATCAGTAATATCAAGTGACACTGGTCGAATTTTCTAGGGTAATGTAGTTCGAAGAATTAACAATCGCTGCATAAAAGTTTAACCAAAAAAAATCACATTTAGACCAAGTACTAGATATAGTTCAAATATCTATTCCTCCATATTGTTACGAGCTTGAGGTTCGTGACAATAAAAACTGCCGATTGAATTACCAAAATTTACACTTTTATTACCGAACACCAATTAAAACTTAAAAGACACCAATAATTAATCACACTGATTCACTTTATTTCGCTCCGAAGCTTCGCTTGTCTCGCCAAATTCAATATTGCCCCGATCGCGGCTTGCAGCGGCTTTAAATACACCTTTTTCACCGAAACATCCAGAATATTCGAGCAAATACGGGCGCCGACCGACCAGGAGCAGAGAGTTCGAGTGTGGGGCTTCTAGAAAGCTTAATTCTTCTGTTCGATACTAGATGGCGCTGTCGGTAGAAAGTTCAATTCTGACATTTTGTTGCGGGTGGACTTTAATAGTCTGTAACGGTAATTAGAATTATACGTAGTCTTTTAATAGTTATTAAATTGTAGACACCAATTAATAATCAAAATAAAATAAATCGAATTTATTCCAAGTACCAGGGTTACACGTAGTCTCTAACGAATCTCTACATTGTAGAGACGCTGCATAAGTTAATAATATTTAAAATAAAACCGCTTAGACCAAGTTACCGGGGTAACAGGACGTCTCTACAAGGTATTTACATTGTAAAGACGCTGAATAATAATTAAGTTACTTCTAAACAATGACCTTTAAACATGTAAGTACGGTATCGGTTACGTGTAGAGTATACAGCTTCATTATAATGTAGGGTCGGGGAATATTAATAGAATATGTTTCTTTTAAACATCCCCTTTCACAATAAAAAGGAGGCCTGTGCATAAGCTGGAGCTCCAATGGCTCAAGAAAACGATTTTTGAAATATATCTTCTCCGTAAGTCGTAGGCCAATTTACATAATTTTTTCTTCAATATTTGTAACTCAACGCAGACAAGGTTTGTAAACAATAAAAATCTGATTTGGTCTACAAGATATAAAAAAAACTAAATTATCTATGGGAAAATACATGTAAAGCAAAAGCACGCGTTTGTAATAATTATTAAAGAATACATAAATACATACATAAACACTCACGCCTGTCACCCAGAGGGGTAGGCAGAGACTACAGACTTCGATTTGGCATGATCCTGACACACCTCTCTTGCCTCCTTCACATCCATACACCTACGCATACATGCTCGTCGGTTAAGGGTACTCCTAATTTGGTCCGTTTTCAAT